CCATCAAAATAAAGTGATACCAATAATATTATTCAATTCTGGTAAAAATTTACTTACTGTACTTAAAAACACAAGTTGTACTGTCTTTAATTTGGATCATATTAAATATTATCTATATATTATTTTTTGTTAATTATATATAAAAAATATATATATTTTTTTTTTTTCAAAATATTTATCTGATGTGTAGATTCAGCCTTTTTGCTCATATAAAACTAATTTAAACGGGCAGTTAATGTATAGCTGGAAGTATCCTAATGATTATATAAGCAGAGTGGTGATATAAGAGACTCAGTGCAGATACACTTTACTGTTACAGTACAGATCACAGTCATACAGTGCATGACTGAAAGACCTTTGATCATCAGATCTGAACAGCAGTTACTCAGTGAATGAACCAGGCTCCTTTGAAACCATTCACAGATAACAAGATCTGCCATAATATGAAGACGACGGCTCACATTATCTAGGAAAAGATCGGTTAAAAAGATAATTATAGATTCATAAATTCATCATAGTCATCCGGGCCAGGAGAGTTTCTGAAAACAGTTCAGGTGTGTCTTATCATAATGCAGTTTTTACAATTCATTTATTCAGTATTATATTATAATATTATATATAAAATATATTTGGGATGAGAAGATTGCTTGGTGCATCTGTAAATGATGTGATCATTTGGGATTAAAAAGTTTTGCATTGGATACGTTTAAGTACATGTATGGATTTAAATCGCAATGCATCTTTGAGTATTATAGTGGGTATATAAAATGTAGTAGAGTCTTAATCTGAAACGAGTTATTGAATGTTTCTCATACAAATTAGGTATGCAATAGATTTGTTTTTGGAAAATTATAGACATTTTGTTTTGATAAACTTGGGTAGATAAATCACGTCAAAAATAAGCTGAATCATGCTGCAGCAAACTTGCATTCTGGAGCAGGACAATGATTCAAAGCACACCTAAAGGTCCAGTTCTGAATGGCTGAGAAAACCTAAATGAAGACTTTGGAGTGACCTAGTCAATGTCCTGACCTAAATGCACTTAAGATACATAACCTTAAAAAAGTGATTCATGCTCGAAAAATGTCAGTAATAAGCTGAATTAAGCTGAAGCTAACTTAGGTTCTGCAGCAGGACGATGATTCAAAGCACACCAGCAAGTCCACGTCTAAACTGCTAAAGAAAACCAAAATGAAGACTTTGGAATGGCCTAGTCAAAGTCCAGACCTAAATGCAATTAAGATGCATAACCTTAAAAAGGTGATTCATGCTCGAAAAACCTCCAATGTGGCTGAATCTCAGCAATTCTGCAAAGATGAGTGGTACAAAATTCCTCCACAGCCCTGTAACAGAATCATTGCAAGTTATCAAAAATGATTGATTGCAGTAGTTGCTACTAAGGGTGGCTCAACCAGTTATTGTCATCTATGCCCTCTTCATAAATTTAATCTTATTTGTATGTATACATTAGGTATGTTTTTGGAAATCTGCTAAATTTAATCCACTTAGTTCTGATAAACCTGGGTAGATAAATCATGTCAGTAATAAGCTGAATCAAGCTGAAGTTTTAGCAGCAGAAGGATGATTCAAAGCACACCAGAAAGTCCACTTCTGAATGACAGAGGAAGCCAAAATGAACACTTTGAAATGGCCTAGTCAAAGTCCTGATCTGAATGCAATTAAGATGCATGACCTTAAACAGGCGATTCATGCTCGAAAAACCTCCAATGTGGCTGAATTTCAGCAATTCTGCAAAGATGAGTGGTCCAAAATACCTCCACAGCTCTGTAACAGAATCATTGCAAGTTATCAAAAATGATTGATTGCAGTAGTTGCTGCTAAGGGTGGCTCAACCAGTTATTGTCATCTATGCCATTTTCATGAATTTATTCTTATTTGTATGTATACATTAGGTCTATTTTTGGAAATCTGCTAAACTTAATCCACTTAGTCCTGGGTAGATAAATCACATAAAAAAAGCTGAATCATGCTTCAGCAAGCTTGCGTTCTGCAGCAAAACAATGATCCAAAGCACACAAGAAAGTCCACTTCTGAATGGCTGAGGAAGCCAAAATGAACACTTTGAAATGGCCTAGTCAAAGTCCTGATCTGAATGCAATTAAGATCCATGACCTTAAAAAGGCGATTCATGCTCCAATAACCTCCAATGTGGCTGAATTTCAGCAATTGTGCAAAGATGAGTGGTCCCAAATTCCTCCACAGCTCTGTAACAGAATCATTGCAAGTTAACAAAAATGATTGACTGCAGTAGTTGCTGCTAAGGGTGGCTCAACCAGTTATTGTCATCTATGCCCTCTTCATAAATTTAATCTTAATTGTATGTATACATTAGGTTTGATTTTGGAAATCTGCTAAATTTAATCCACTTAGTTCTGATAAACCTGGGTAGATTAATCACATAAAAAAGCTGAATCAAGCTGAAGCTAACTTGGGTTTAGCAGCAGGACAATGATTCAAAGCACACCAGAAAGTCCACTTCAGAATGGCAGAGGAAGCCAAAATGAACACTTTGAAGTGGCCTAGTCAAAGTCCTGACCTGAATGCAATTAAGATGCATGACCTTAAAAAGGTGATCCATGCTCGAAAAGCCTCCAATGTGGCTGAATTACAACAATTCTGCAAAGATTAGTTGTCAAAAAAGTCCTCCATATATCGCTGTAGCAGGCTCATTGCAATTTATCAAAAATGCTTGATTGTAGTAGTTGCTGCTAAGCGTGGCTCAACCAGTTATTGTAATTAATGCCATTTTCATAAATGTAATCTTAATTGTATCTCTACATTAGGTTTGTTTTTGGAAATCTGCAAAATTTCAGGCATTTTGTTCTGATAAACCTGGGTAGAAAAAAGAAAACCAAAATGAAGACTGGAATGGCCTAGTCAAAGTCCTGATCTGAATGCAATTAAGATGCATGATCTTAAAAAGGCGATTCTTGCTTGAAAAACCTCCAATGTGGCTGAATTTCAGCAATTCTGCAAAGATGAGTGGTACAAAATTCCTCCACAGCTCTGTAACAGAATCATTGCAAGTTATCAAAAATGATTGATTGCAGTAGTTGCTACTAAGGGTGGCTCAACCAGTTATTGTCATCTATGCCATCTTCATAAATTTAATCTTATTTGTATGTATAAATTAGGTTTGATTTTGGAAATCTGCTTAATTTAATCCACTTAGTTCTGATAAACCTGGGTAGATAAATCATGTCAGTAATAAGCTGAATCAAGTTGAAGCTAACTTAGGTTCAGCAGCAGGTTGATGATTCAAAGCACACTAGCAAGTCCACATTTAAACTGCTAAAGAAAACCAAAATGAAGACTTTGGAATGGCCTAGTCAAAGTTCTGACCTAAATGCAATTGAGATGCTGTGGCATGACCTTAAAAATACCACAATTCTGTGGTTCCAAATTCCTCCACAGCTCTGTAACTAACTCATTGCAAGTTATCGAAAGTTTACTGAAATTTTATTTTAATTGTTTGTATACATTAGGTCTGTTTTTGGAAATCTGCAAAATTCCAGGCATTTTGCTTCGATGAACTTGGGTAAATAAATCATGTCAAAAATATAGAGTAAGAAAATTTCTAAAAGTTTCTGAAAGATTTGTTTTTAAATAAAAATGAGACTATTTGATGAGCTTTAATTAGAGTTTTTATGACATTTTGTAGCCACCCGTTGTGTACCTGAGGTATTTTAGTTAGCTTCAACCATTGAATTTGACCTGAAATTAGTTTTGAATGGCAAGTTTTGCACAAATATATCCACTACATGTCCTTCTCATGCTTGCTTTTTTGTGTAATCCAGTACATGATTCCAGGAACAAGTGCAGTGGGAAGCAGCAAAGCCACAGCGCTTTTACAGAACGACAGAAGATAAAATAACTGGCTGCTGGAGGAAAATGTCATCTTATCCAGAAGCTGCAGCAAAACCAGTGATACACCAATACATCCAATCCTGAAACAAATGCAAGTGTGTTTCTTACTACTTCCTGGATCGTAGTGAGACAAATGAAGGCCGAGACCCAGGCCGAAAAGGGTGCCCATGTTCCTCAGCAGGCTGGCGAACGGTGTGGCGTCCATTAAAACCCAGGCTGGATTTATGCACCATTTCTGGGCTTTCTCAAGAGTCCAGAGCAGATCCACACCAAGAGCCTTCAGGAGCACATAAAAGCCCACAGCGAATGACAGCAGGAACAGCGTGATGCTGAAGTACTTCTTCAGACTCGCACTATAGATCCACTGCACTCTGGAGAAGGTTTCTGCTACAATTATACCTGGAAATACAAGACCAGAAACTGTAAGAGCATCTGGAGTAGACATAAAACACTTTTGAGAAGGGCTGCATGACTATTGCAATGCTTTGTTTTTTCGCAATATATTTTGGAACAAGTCACCAGGGGCCTCATGTATCAACGCTGCGTACGCACAAAAACTTTGCGTACGCCAGGTTTCACGCTCAGAATTGCTCACGTTTGGATTTACTAACGATGAACTGAACGCGGGAATGTGCGCAGCTCCACGCCAGCTTTATGGCTGGCGTACGCACATTTTTTTGTGCGTCTTTGTTTTATTTCCATTGGCGACTCCTAGAGGCAGTTGCGTTAAATTGCACTCTTCAAAGTGTCTGAGCCTTGCAATGGCAGCTGTATGAGACGGGTTCATCTAGCAGGTATATAAGGTTTCCATACCATACAGTTGACCAGCCAAACATTGCGCAATTTGCAGCGGTCGCCTGTTTTCCCAATGTAATCTGAGCTATCTACTGCACGCACATTGCTATAAAGACACTATCTGAGGATGAATTTGCATGCGTGAATCAGAAACATTTCTATTTAATAAATGTGCAAATAAAATATGATGCACAAACTTATTGATGATTCCTACTTGTCTTTCTCGTGATAAATAGTTGGCAAAATCTGATATGTAGTGGGGGGGGGGAAGAAGAATGAGTTCATCAGACGCTGGATTCGATTTGAGTTCATGCTCAAACGTGTCAAAATATGATGACATGCGTCTTACGAGCTGCGCCACTGAGACTGCTAAGGGTACTGCAACATTTTACACCTATAAATCACACTATTTCTTTTTTAATTCACTCAGTGCGATGTTCAGACCCAACTGTGTTAACCGCATCAGCTAAACTCTCCCACTCTATTATTTTTTTTTTTGTTGTTGTTAATTCCGGAGGACAAACTTGCAAATAACACCGTTTTCTCCGGTCTACCTCCGAAAGCAGCACCTCCAATTCACATTCTGTTCAAAGTTTCTCTTTTTGCTTGCTTTTGCCATTGCTTTTTCGTTGGGTTTTGCCAAAGTAGAGTCATTAGCATATTCATACGGGGGAGGAGGCAGGGAGGGGTTTTGTGCTCGTGCATGTTGCGCCCAGATTCACGTTCATTCGGATGTACAAAAGAATATGCGTGAGATTCGGCGTACGCAGTGTTTCATTCGTACATGAGACCCCAGATAATTTAAACAGCTCTATTAAGAAAGAATTCATCATTTTAGATTAATTAGGATTATTTTGTAGGTTAGTGCATCTGCAAAGCATATAATAAACAAAATGGCAAGCATACGCAGTAAATTCTGGGGCCTCATGTATCAACTCTGCGTACGCACAAAAAACTTTGCATACGCTAGGATTCACGCTCATGTTTGGATTTGCTAACGATGAAATGAACGTGGGAATGTGCGTTGTTCCACCCCAACTTCATGCCTGGCGTACGTGCATTTCTTGTGCGTGTCTGTTTTATTTCCATTGGCGACTCCTAGAGGCACTTGTGTTAAATTGCACACTACAATGTGTCTTTAAACCGTGCAATGGCAGCTGTATGAGACGCATGTCTTGCAGGTATATAAGGTTTCCATCCCATGCAGTTGACCAGCCAAACATTAAAGGGCAATTTGCAGCGGTCGACGGTTTGCCCAATGTAATCGGAGAGATCTACTGCACACACATCGATATAAAGGCGCCATCTGAAGATTAATTTGCATATGTGGATCGGAAACATTTGCATTCAATATATGTGCAAATAAAAGAAGATGCACAGACTTATTAATAATTCCTACTTGCCCTCCTCGTGATGAGGGGTAGGCAAAACCTGATATGTAGCGGGGGGAAAAAAGAAGAATAAGTTCATCAGATGCTGGATTCGAACCAAGCTTTCTTTTGCATGTGATTCCCTCATAGCAAATAATAGTTAAAGATTAGTAAAGAGTATTAATATGCAGTTGCTATGGAAGCCCTCAGGTTTATGTCAACATCCACTCCAAAGGTGGAAGCAAATGGTCAGACTTTCATTGATACCTAAACAGATGCATTTGTCTCAGTGGATTCACTTGCATGGATTCATTATTCTTAGAATAAAAATACCCCAAGAGTAACAATGTGAGATGGCTGATAACTAACTGAAAATCCAAAAATAACTGATAACTGGCTAATTTTCAGGTGGTTCATTGCACTGTGGTGACCCCAGATTAATAAGGGGACTTAGCCGAAAATAAAATGAATGAATGATCGGCTAATTTTCAGCTCCCATATTTTCATCTTCCGGTTTTAAAACCCCTTAACTGTCACTATCCCTCCACCAGGACACTTTTTACATCATTAAAACTCACTTTTTACAAATTCACATAACTTTTTTTGCAATTAAATCATAATCCAATCATGATGAAAACTTCTGAATAAATATTTTACCACAGCTTTTTGTTACATAGGAAAAGTAATAGATAAAAAAAAACTACTGTCACCCTACAATCTGTTAGACTTTTTTACGGTTACATTTTCAAACCATAATACTGTAGTCTAAACATAAAGCAATCATGACAAACTATAAATCCTTTGAAAGCATAACATGTCTAGTTTCCAAGTCTGGTGACTGATTTTGATAGATCTTACTGAGCAACAGTTATTTATTAATTTGCAACAAGTTTACTCATCGTGAAAAATTACTTCGCTACAGCAATCCACATGTGAAATTTTGTTAAAAGTTTTTTAGAAGCTAAATTCAAATCAAATACCACCAAACTTCCCATACCACTATAGAATCATGTCCACTTCACAAATATTGTCAAAAGCATGAAAAAATACAGTTCATACGTGCTCAACAGATCAAAATGGGATTGGCTCTAACCATTTTGGTTTCAAAAAAGAGGAAACTTACCTGAAATAACTCCACAGATTACTTGGTGTGGGAAATGAGCGGCCAGATACACTCTAGACATGCAAACCAGCAACTCTACCAAACCCAGAAACATCCACAGCATCAACTGTACAAGTCTGAAAGCAGACATCACTGTGATGCTATTAAACTATTAAAGAGACAGTTTACACACAAAAATACTGAAGAGCTGAAACTGGTAATTCAAAAAATGTCAAAAATATCCAAGTTGGTTTAATTTAATGATAATTTTGTAATAACGTTGTAGAAAAACAATAAAAGATTTACATTATATAAATAAAAGGGTGATGCGGTGGCGCAGTGGGTAGCATAATCGCCGCACAGCAAGAAGGTTGCTGGTTCGAGCCTCGGCTGGGTCAGTTGGCGTTTCTGTGTGGAGTTTGCATGTTCTCCCTGTGTTAGCGTGGGTTTCCACCAGGTGCTCCGTTTTCCCCCCACAGTTAAAAGACATGTGCTATAGGTGAATTGGGTAAGCTAAAATTGTCCGTAGTGTATGTGTGTGAATGAGCGTGTATGGATGTTTCAGCTGGAAGGGCATTCGTTGTGTAAAAAACATAAGTTGGCGGTTCATTCCACTGTGGCGACCCAAGATAAATAAAGGCGCTAAGCCAAAAAGAAAATGAATGAATGAAAGTGCTTGAGCTCCTGCCCTTTTTCTCTCTTGGAAAGAATGTGCCCCCTCAAAATAAAAGTGCCCCCTCTATCGCACTCCTGCCCCCTCCTCAATTTCGCACACGAATCATCACCTCCCCCCACCCCCCACTCCTCAACTTTGAAAGTCCTCCCCTTGACAGGTCTCTCCACATCACCACCCAAGTTTATTAAACATCTGTTTTCTTGTCTCAGTCTCACCTGTAAATTAAAGGAGGTAATTTTCTTTCAGCAAGGATTGAAAGCAACGCTGTGATCATCACATATCCAACAGCAGCAGAGCCCATGGCATGACCCGACGGGCTGCCTGACAGAGAACCAGACAATGGTTAATGTCAAATTTTCCTTTAACAAAAAAATAAATAAATACAAATAAAAAAATAATAAATAAATAAATATTTAAATATATAAAAATAAATTATATATATATATATATATATATCAACTAAAGTACATCAAAATATCCTTATTTAATAATTTATAAAATTAAAATAATATTTAATGAAATACAAAACAATCAACTTAATATGACCAGAAAGAATGACAATAAGGCACTAATTTATAAAGTATATACTTTATACATTATATTATAAAGTATATGCTTCATTTTTAATATTCATTTATTCATTCATTCTTTCATTTTCTTGCCAGCTTAGTCCCGTTATTAATCCGGGATTACCACAGCGGAATGAACCGTCAACTTATCCAGCAAGTTTTTAACGCAGCGGATGCCCTTCCAGCTGCAACCCATCTCTGGGAAACATCCACACACACACTACGGACAATTTAGCCTACCCAATTCACCTGTACCGCATGTCTTTGGACTGTGGGGGAAACCGAAGCACCCGGAGGAAACCCACGCGAACGCAGGGAGAACATGCAAACTCCACATAGAAACGCCAACTGAGCCGAGGTTCAAACCAGCGACCTTCTTGCTGTGAGGCGACAGCATTACCTACTGCGCCACTGCTTCGCCTCATTTTTAATATACAAAATACAATTTAGAAAGGAAAACCGATTTAAAATAAAAAAAAGCTATTTTAGTATGTCAATAATGATAGATGTATATGAGTATTAATTTAATTAATTAATAGAGTATTAATATTTAAAATATATTAATAATTACAAAGTTTAATAAATTTATATATATTTAATTTAAATAAATATCTTGTTTTAAAGTTTTGATAATGCACTTATTAATAAAGTATACTTCATAAAGTACACGCTTTAGTTTTTATTTACAAAATAAAATATAGAAAGAAAAACTGATTTAAAGCAACTACACAACTATATTAGTATGTCAATGTTGTAAAAATATCATTATTATTATTAATATTTTAATAATTACAAAATCTTATTCACAATTGATTTGAAATAAGTATTTAATAACTCAAATTTACTAAATAAATAAAATGTCTGAATGTTTTACAGCAGATACAATTTTTTCAGGTTGTCAGGGCAGATAAAACCAGCTTAAACTAGATAAAACCAGCAAAATGGCTCCGCCAAAAACACCAGCAGCCCTTTAGATATCAAGTGGAATCATTTATGAGTCTTTTCATTTATGAGGTCTAGAGTACTAGTTCTAATTCAGGTCAAGAATGAATGAATGAAAACTGTCCAGCAGCAATATAAGCAATATTACTAGCAAGTAATATTGAGAATCTACCCTTGATCTGAAACATTAAGATAAGCAGAGAGCAAATCCATTTCCACATGAAAGATTAGAACTGCAATCCTGGCCTGATTGCATAAGTGCTGGTGTACGGAGTAGCAGATTTTATATAGAGATACAGCTGCCTTTCATGCATGGCGTAATCATTCATAAATAACCTGCAATAAATATTGTGCTATACCTGGTCCAGTTTCACATGTCATGGAGAACTGTTGCAGTTCGGGATGTTTCATTGAGCCATAAAACTTAGTTTCATGCACCCACCAGTAAGGCCTCTCACCAAACAGCACCCTATGGAAATATCAGAAAATAGTGTGGAAATGCATCAGCAAAAACCATTTTAATCTTTTATTTAAGTGTAAAAAAACTTTCTCCCTTAATTTTTTTGTTGAATCAAATGAACTTTTCAAGTCATCTCAACTTAAATCAGTCAAACCGACTAAAAAACATTAAACTTTGTATAGCTAAAAAAATGTAGCTGAAACCTGATTAACTGAATAAATTAAGTTAAAGTAACAATAAAGCAGTTCTTGTCGTGACATTTTGTCATATAATGTTTTACAGTGAAAAGAAAGTACAAAGATTATTTTATATTATTTAAACACTAAAAGGAAAATGTTTTGTCTTTTTTATTTAGTTGAGGGTGACACTGTGGCTCAGTGGTAAGCACTGTAGCCTCACAGCATAACTGTCGCTTGTTTGAGTACCGGCTGTGTCAGTTGGCATTTCTGTGTGGAGCATTGTTCCCTGTGTTAGTGTGGGTTTCCTCGGGGTGCTCCGGTTTCCCCCACAGTCCAAAGACATGTGCTATAGGTGAACTGAACAAACTAAATTGGCCATAGTGTATGTGTGTGAATGTGAGTGTGTATGGGTGTTTCCCAATGTGCTGGGTTGTGGCCGGAAGGGCATCCGCTGTGTGAAACATATGCTAGAATAATTGGCGGTTCAATCTGCTGTGGCGACCCCTGATGAATAAAGGGACTAAGCTGAAGGAAAATGAATGAATGAATTTACTTAAACTTGTTATCCTTAAATAACTGACTGTAAATCAGAAATACAACAACAAACAAATAAGGTCAATGAAAAAAATACTAAAGCTGACATTGAATTAAAAAAGAAAACAGATTTAAAATTCATCCATTCATTTTCTTGTTGGCTTAGTCCCTTTATTAATCCGGGGTCGCCACAGTGGAATGCACCGCCAACTTATCCAGCATATTTTTACGCAGCGGATGCCCTTCCAGCCGCAACCCATCTCTGGGAAAAGAGACTTAAAATTATAATTTAAAATGTATGAAACTCAAATAATTATACTAAAATAATTCTAAACAGTTGAAGTAAAATTGATGTAATAACTACTAACGCATTTTTATTATTACTAAATATTGCTACATGTAACACATTACAAATATTTAGCTTATAATCTTTCTGATTAAGTGGCAAGTTATTATGTATCTTCTACATTTACAAAAATAATTATGCAAATAAAGGAAAATAAATAAAACCTCAAACAAATCAAATGTAAAAAAAAAAACTATTTGGTTGGCAATTTTTATCAGAAAAAAATTATATATATAATAAATAAATAAATAAATAAATAAATATATATATATATATATATATATATATATATATATATATATATATATATATATATATATATATATATATATATATATATATTTTTTTTTTTTTTTTTTTTCCCCTGATAAAGCACCAATTCATTACGAACCTAAAAATTGACAACAAATATGTATGTAAATAAAGGAATACTATTTCAATAAAATTGCATACAGCACAATTTCATCATTTGTTTAAAATAAATCATTGCATTATTTACAGTTAATATTAACAGAAAGGAATAAGAAATTTTCACTATATTGAAAATTACTAAAATAAAAAAAGTAATGTAAAAAAAACAAATAAAAACAGATTTAAAATAATAATAAAAATATAAAACAATTGAATTAAAACTATATTTAATAAATAACCCAAATAATGCATGAATATAAATCCTGTACATATTTATTTATATATACAGTGCTATGAATACATTCTCACACATCTCTCATTTAAAGTCATATTTTCTATAGGAAGCTATACAATATTATATTTGTGCCTATACATTAGATTACTCAGTAACGAAGCCAAATCTGGAGCTAATCTAGCAAAATAGTTTACAATAACAGTCCAAAAATTAGTAGCATTTATATGTGTGGTGTATGAATGTTTATTCAGCTTTAGTGAGTTCTCTCTTTAAATCTAAATCCATAAAAATATGAAGAAGATCTCACCACTTTAGGACGAGGTTCAGCCAGTCTCCAACCACGGCCACCCAGATGAGTTTAACAGCCACATCTCTGCGCAGATGAAACCAGACGGGGAAAAACACAAAGAAGGTGGTGTGTAGATCAGCCAGAGAGGAGACCCAGTGAAACACGCTCTCATAATCCTGGTATTTGATCTGTAAGTGGACGGCCAGCTCCACACCCCAGCTGTGAAGAAGATCCATCTCTGTCCAGACAGGCACATCAATCAATTGATGTGATTAATTGATTGACTGATTGATTCAATCAATCAATAAATCAATCAATCAATTCACTCATTAATTCGTTTTCCTTTGGCTTAGTCTCATTAAATACACATATTTTCAAAAGCATGTCAAAATATACAAAAAAAGGGCCAAATAGATATTGTATTTGCAATTTGTATAAATTTGTATTTGCTAATTTGTATAAAACATAATTATTTAAGTTTTTTTTTTTTTTTTTAATAAATACTTAGATACATTTATTTTATCCAAATTAGAGCTGCACAATATATCGTAGTCACATCACAGTTGAGTTTGGATTATAATGTATCATTTGCATGTGTTTTTGTGGCTTGTGACTGTAAAAAAGATTTTAAAAGCATTCGGACATATGAAATTGTACCATTTGTCACTCTTGTAACTATTAATTTTACTAAATTGTTTTTACAATAATGACTACACAGTATTAGTTTACATTTGATCATTCAATTACTGTATGTGAATACTGTGAGGATCCTCAGAAAACAATTCAACACTGTTTATTTCATTTGTGTCTTTTTACTTATTGTATTTAGCTATGCTTTTAGATGGTTTACTCCTCTACATAATCATCCCAATCAATCTAAAATAAAACATTCTTTCTGAATAGATATATTAAAGTCATCTGGTAAAATTGTATTCTTATCGTAAATATATATCGCAGAATAACAAAATATAAAAATGTTAGATTTTTCCAATGAAAAATAAATATTTTTTTCTATTTTTGAAATAAATATTTGCATTTAAAATGTATATAATGATTTTTTATTTCTAAAATGTTTTTAAACAATAAACATACCTTACATTGTAAACAAACAACAAAAAACGCATTGGCAACTATTATATATATATATATATATATATATATATATATATATATATATATATATATATATATATATATATATATATACAGTTGAAGTCAGAACTATTGGCCCCCCTTTGATTTTTTTTTTTTATTTCCCAAATGATGTTTAACAAAGCAGAGAAATTTTCACAGTATGGCGGAAAATATTTTTTCTTCTGGAGAAGGTCTTGTTTGTTTTATTTAGGCTTGAATAAAAGCAGTTTTAAAAAAAAATTATGAAACATTTTAAGGTCAAAATTATTAGCCCCTTTAAGGTATTTTTTTTCCGATAGTCTACAGAACAAACTATCCTTATACAATAACTTGACTAATTACCCTATCCTACCTAGTTAACCTTATTAACCTAGTTAAACCTTTAAATGTCACTTTAAGCTATATAAAAGTGTCTTGAAATATATCTAGTCAAATATTATTTACTGTCATCATGGCAAAGATAAAATAAATCAGTTATTAGAAATGAGTTATTAAAACTCTTATGTTTAGAAATGTGTTGAAAAAAATCTGCTCTCCGCAAAACAGAAATTGGGGAAAAAAATAAACATGGGGCTTAATAATACAGGGGGCAAATAATTCTAACTTCAACTGTATGTACAAACAAATAGTACTACGGTACTATATATATATATATATATAAAATATAAATATATATAAAATAAAGTAAAACACTTTGGGATATTTTTATATATCAATATATTAATCAATATATATTGATTGCCACTGTAATCGACAAAAATATAAAAACAATTTGTACGACACCTTTGTAAATTGTAGACCTTCACCCAAATAATGTGAGGTTTTAAAAATGTATGTCCTTGCTTCTGAAATCAATTACTATATGAAGTTTGACATTAAAAATCTTTTCAAGACATGTTTAACTGTACCTCACAGTCACACAGTATATTTAGCATAAATGTAAGATATATTTTAAACCATTTACCGTATGGTGCAGCGATGGGGATCAAACTGGAGCCTGTCAGGCTTTGTCCAGCCCTCAGCCCTCAGTCATGCTCCACTTGGACTTTATTCAAGGCTGCACTGGTTTGGTTTTGTTTGCATGTGGGCCCTCCATATCATAACCCCTGACCTGCGATGACGCAGACGGGCCAAACACTGATAAAATGATGAGTGGACACTGTGGTCTCTTTTAAGTCTGTGATGTCACTGCAACGATGATGATTATGATGATAAGAATGATAACTGGCACAAGTGATGCAGATGATCCCCTTTTGATGCATCTGTCTGGCTCGTGATCCTGTAGATGGGGAAAAGACAGCATAACATCCTTTGAAATATATCAGATGATACTGAATGATACTAATAGTAAAACAATTCAATTGTTTATTTAATATAAATGTTTCGCAATTAAACACACAGTTCAATCTAAAACGAAAATCATCATTTACTAGCCTGACTTGTTCCAAACCAGGGGTGCATTTCTGAAAACCATTGTTAGCCAACTAACCTCGCAAGATGTGTGGTTACAAACATAGTTGTTTGATTTAGCGTTTCCCAAATCCATCGTTCCAACGAACATTCGTAAACTCCTATGTTTGCAACTACACCTCTGGGGCTGTAGTTAGAAACATAGTTCCTGGCTGTGTTCTATTCCCAGTTATCCACCCAATGCCCTATTCGTTTAGAACGTTCTAACATTTAAACTTGGAATAATTTAAGAAAGCATTAAAGTCATCTCTCTTAGGTGTAATTTGCTTTTCAAAGTATTTTTACAGTTCAGATTTAGCTATCTTATGGGAAACATCAATACACACTCATTCACCATGAACAATTTAGCCTTCCCAATTTACCTGTACCGCATGCAACCCAGGCTCATTCTGGAAACGTAGCCTCGCGGACGTTTCTGGAGACCCGAAATACGTCCCTGGAGGCACGTATTTGTGCAGTTTTTGTTTTCACGAATCCACGAGAGGCCGCTGTTCCCGCGTAAAAAGCAGACGGAAGCCGCTGTCGAGCAACCGTCTGTCCGACTGGCTGAATGACTGAACAATTGACTGGGCGGCTGGCCAATCGGCCGACCCGGCCACCCTTCTCCTCCTCCTTCCTCCCTAAACCCAAGCGACAATTTATGAAAGCCGTGCGAAAAAAGAAAAGCCTTCGCCCGATTTTGACCGCGATTTCGGATTTCGCCACATTCTTGACCCGTTATTTTTTGGATTCTGTTTTTTGTCTTACCTGACTTATGGAACAGCTCTTCCCAGGATTCGAACCTGGTCTTGAACGCTGCCTGGCTCCTCCACTGGGCCTCTGCTCCGCCAACGTAACATGACGAGCTAACCGGACAAACTGGTTGCGGCGGGAAAGCCCTCCACATGGAGGAGGCAAGCCGTCAGCCCAGCCGGCGAGCGCGAAGAGGAGCGGCATCACACCGGCCCGCAGCATTCGCTTAAAAAAAAACAAATGTGGCCATACATACCTCCGGCCACGTAAATCGCAGTCTCCAGAAACGTCCGCGGGGCTACGTTTTTGGAATGAGCTTGGGTTGACCGCATGTCTTTGGACTGTGGGGGAAACCGGAGCACTTGGAGGAAACCCACGCAAACGCAGGGAGAACATGCAAACTCCACACAGAAACGGCTATAGACTCAGCCGAGGTTCGAACCAGCGACCTTCTTGCTGTGAGGCGACAGCACTACCTACTGCGCCACTGCATTGCCCATAAACAATATCCTGTCATCAATAATATTTTTAATATTATTATTAAAGTATAATTTTTTCATTTCTTAATAAATTATAAATACTAAATTTTATTTCTTAATAAATAGCCTCTATTTATTTATTCATATGATTTATATATGATATTAGAATACTGTTATACTGTAAAAAATACATCTGTAAAATTTTACGGTAAAAAACTGGCAGCTGTGGTTGCCAGTATTTCACCGTTAAAAATACAGTAAAAAACGTAAAAGTAATTTCACATTTATCCAATAAATTTCATTAATTTATATAATTTATCAAGGTAATATGTACATATTTTTAATTACCAACATCTACACATCGTTTGTTACACAGACAGGCACGTTAACACAGCTGTGCAGGTGGTGATGAGAAAGATGAACCAATGCTCATCGTCTATAGAAGGTGCTCAGTGTCATTCACACTGCTGCTAAACACCAGTATTATAAGATGCATAAAATTAAAGTCATTAAATAATCATTGTTTATCAACACTGAATGTAACATCAATCTCTAACGAATACATAAGTGATGAAAAAACAACTAAAAAGATCCATATTGATGTCAACGAAAAGCATAAAAAGTGATGTGCCATGCAGGGAATTATGGGAAGGTCAATTTACAGATATTCGCCGTATATATTGAGGAAACATACTGTTAACCAGGTTATGGATTTTTACTGTAGCGTTTTTACAGTTTTTGACCATTGAAATCACGGCCATTTCTTACAGTGTAGCTTTTATAAGTGATTTTATGTTTTAGAATAGAATACGTAATGTTCATTCGTTCATTTTCTTTTCGGCTTAGTCCCTTCCAACTTATCCAGCACATGTTTTACGAGCGGACGCCCTTCCAGCTGCAACCCATCTCTGGGAAACATCCATACACTCATTCACACACATACACTACCGACAATTTAGCCTACCCAATTCACCTCTATCGCATGTTTTTGGACTGTGGGGGAAACCGAAGCACCGGCTCAAACCAGCAACCTTCTTGCTGTGAGGCAACAGCACTACCTACTGCGCCACCCAAATATGTAACGTTGTCAATAATATTTGCAAAGGAAACACAGGCTTTATATCTGCGGTTCACATATATTTCAATTAATATGGAAAGCGAGTGCATGTTTTTACCAAAACAATTATTCGATTGTTTTTAAAATGTGTGTTTGTGTAAAACAATATGATTTGCACAAAGAAATTGTGGGGATGTTCTCTAAAGAAGTTGTTACCACCCCATTTAGT